CCCCCCTTGGGTACAAGCCCCCCCCCCATGTGTGTGCCCAGGCCCCGGGAGTGCCCACAGAGCCCTTCCCGACCTGCCCCGGCCCCCCCTTTCCCAACCGGGCCAATATTCCAGAGAACCCCATTTCCTTCTGCCTCCTTTGCACCAGAACAACTCGGGCTCCTTCATCCCAACTGCAGAACTTGGGGAGTTTTCCAGGCCGAGTTGCAACAACCACTTGGCCAAAAAAAAAGCTTCGAGCGGGGCGATTTCTTGATGATGATGATGATGATTTTAATTTTAAATTAAACGAGCAGCCCGGCCCCTTTGGGCGGTTTTTGCAACCCCTGCCGCCGCTTCCACAAGTTGCTCCATTGATTTTTTGCTCACGCTGGGAGTGAATATACCCAGAAATTTAATATATATATATATATGTGGTTTGAAGCTACTGTTTATATACCGATAGCAAAGCTGTTTAGATGCACAGATAAACGTGTCCGCAAATAAACAGCACGCGGGTCTAACTGCGTCCAGACCCACGGTTTCTAGACGTGTGTGTTTGTCTGCGTGGGTGTGTAGCAAAAATATACAGCCTTGCAAATCCCACTTTATTGGGATGGAGCGTAATCGGTTCCATGACCGCCTTAGTAAACCCTATTGGGGAGCGTTTCTGTGTGTATTGGAGGGGATTTTTAACGTTATCTTTCCTATCGATCCGCTGGGGGGTTGGTGGATGGAAGGGTGCCAGGGAGCTCCAGTAAAATAGTCTCTCCAGTCCCAGCAGCAAACTGGGGGCAGCCCCAGAGAGGTTGTTTTCGTTGTGATTTGAAATGGGAATCCTCGGAGGAAGAGGGAGGAAAAAAGCTTTTCACGCCTAGAAATAGTGAGAGGTTTTAAATTGGGAGGGCACAATAAGAGATGGGGAGTTTGGGGTTGGTTTTGCTCTGGGGTTTGTTGTGGTCTTCCCAAATTTGCTGGAAGGATTGGGGGGAGAAGGGGGAAAGGAATAAGATAAGGAATAAGGATATAAGATAAGGAATAAGATCGAGGTGGTTGGGAAAAGTTTGAGGGGATATAGCGGCTGGAAAAACGGGGTTTCAAGGAGAGTTTTGGGGACGTGGTGTCAAGTAGGAAGGGAGGGAGAAGTTGTGGGGGGCGGCACAAGGGTTGGGGGGAGCGGAGGGACCTCCCGAAAAACCCGAGTTCACGGGGGATTTAAAAACAGAATAAAAAAGGGGAGAGAAGAAAAAAAGCAGCAGCCCACGGAGAGAGACATAAACCACCTTGCAGAGATTTCAAACAAATATCGCCGCGGACAGAAAGCTCATCTGGAGAGCAATAAAATGGACATTTACAGGGCAGGGGGTTTAAGGGAGAGGCGGGCTGGGTTTCCTGCTTTCTCTCGTTGCCCCCGTTTATTGTTGAGCTCCGTGGTTTTGCCTCTCAGGTGTTGTCGCTGGAGTTACAGGGCGTTCTTCAGGTGGAGTTTGCTTTCTTCTCCTTTCAAACGTCAAAGCTGAGCCCTCGTTTTCTACCTGGGTAGTTTTTTCTCCCCCCCCCCTCACACACCTCCCGCTTTTCCAGCAGAACGAGCCCCCTGTCCTGCCCCAGAGATAAGAGCCCGAGCCCAGCGCAGTATTTTTAGAGATGCGGGTTTTTTTTGTTTATGCCTGTTTGAAGCCCAGGGCTACGTTTTCAGCTGCTTTATTTTTAAATATTTGGAAAGCTCCGACTAAAATAACAGCAGTGTTTTAAGTCCCTGCCTCGCAGTAATGGAAAATATTTCCAACAGCCCCTGCCTGCAGTGGGTTCCAAGGCTTTGGCAGGTGTGTTTGCTGAGGGCTCCACGGTCACACGTGGGTTTTGGTGTCACACCTGAGTGCTTGTAGGTTTGATATATAAAAATATATGTGTGTATATATATATATTTGCAAATCTCTCCCGTTCCAGCGGTCTGAAATAAGTAAGTAACTTGCTTCCCAAAGTTCTCACGACTTAGATTTGCTCAAAGAAGGGAAGAGGCGAAGTCGGGAGGGGGGGAAAATCATGAATAAAGATACGACCAGGGGAATCAACAAACCCTCCACCCTCTTCATTACGATTCCGCCCTGATCAATCGCCTGTTTCTCCTCAGCCCAGGACCCAGCAGCACCCAAACATCTCCCAGCAGGGTTCACCCTCCTCTGCCTGAGCCTTTCGGGGCGACCCAGCCCAGAATGTAGCGTTACCCCTTTATTAACAACCCTCCCTTTTTTATCCTCCCCGCTTTTATACTCCAGGCTTTCTCCTTTCCTTTTTACAGGCGTATGTTCCCCAGCTACAAAGTGAAGGTCACTGGACTCAATCCAAAAACGAAGTACATCCTGTTGATGGATATTGTACCAGCGGATGACCACAGATACAAATTTGCAGATAATAAATGGTACGCACGGGTTAGGGGGGGGGGGATAAGGAGCTTTCTGGGTTGCCCAAATCAGCGGCTCCTGCCGTTTTCCAACCCGGCAAGGGAGGGAGGTTGATCTGCACCTGAGCCCCTTTCCAGGGAAAGGCATTTACAAAACAAAGGGAACAGAGAATCTGTTGCAATTAGCTCCTGATAACTCTAATCCCGTTTGATGATGGGATTATTGGCTGTTATGGAGCCCCCAGTTTAGTTCTATTAAGGCCGGGAAAAGGATCTTGAAGGTCCTTTTGCTCCCGGTGTGTTGTTTTTTTTTTTTGGGGGGGGGAAATAGGGGGTTAAACGGGGAGACAGCGAGAGCCACCTCCGATGGGAAGGGTGCCAAGGAGCTCAATTCATTCCCCGAGCAGTGTTTGGAAACTCCTTTTGTCCCCAGGGACTGTGGGACCGGCCGGCACCGGGGATACCTGAGCGGGAGGGGATGGATTGGGATGCAGGAGCCCACGGGAGGGGATGGACTGGGATGCAGGAGCCCACGGGGGATGGATTGGGATGCAGGAGCTCACGGGAGGGGATGTGGGGGAGCAGGACCCCACGGGAGGGGATGGGGGGGA